ATTTATAATTTTCTTATTCTGCAATTGTTTTAATAATTCTGCCTAAAAAAGAAAACCTTTTTTTTATAGAAGAAGAAACGATAAATTTTTTTATATGAAGAAATTAAGTTAACTACATTAACAAATTAACATACATATATACCGAGTAAGTCACACAACTGGGACGAGTTGCATCTCTTGCTTGTTCAGGGTCAGAGGTAAAGAAAAGTTGCAGAAGCAAAAATTGAACGGTATAAAAAAAAATATTTTTCCTCGATTCTATCTAATAGTAGATCTATCTTTCTACTGTTTTTTTTTTGTAAATGCAACGATGCATCTAAAACTTTTTTTTTTTACGTAAATCGACACTTCGGAACATTCTGAGTATAAAAGCATTAGAATAAAGCATTAAACAATTTATGTAGAAATTTACACCTTTGAAGCAATGTTAATAATCGTATTACAGATTATATATATGTGAATAAATTTTGTTATTTTTAGTTAGTAAATAAATAATTGTCTTAAATGAACGTAACAATATACTATGGAATAAGTTGAAGTTCAACGTTCCAGATGATTACGTGGAGACATTGTACGTTAAGCAAGGTCAGTATCTTATGCGACGTTAGTATCTTATGCGACGTTTTCAAGGAGATCGATATGAGTGTAAGTACGTAAGACTGTTGAATATACCGTGATTATTTTAAATTTAAATGAGAAGTAGTAAGTAATTCAACGAGATACACGAACAATTGTAACAAAATATAGCATAATAAATGTAGAAAAACATTTATTATTATAACGACAATATTGTTTCATAATTTTAAGATGAGTTTTCATGATTATATTACATAACCAATAGAAAATTGAATAACGTACTGTATATATATATTTTAAAAATATTTTCTATTAAATATTGAATATTTATAAATTTATATTAAATATGAATTATAAAGGTGTGTATATGTATATGCATATAGTTTCCCTTTTAATTAGTTTATTAATATTTCTGTTTCTAGATATGACAAAGATCAGATCATTTTGTTATACAGATAAGGATAAAACTACGCTTCGGTTATAATACCGTACAGCTGATGCAATATCGTTGGTCTTTAACTACACTAGGTTGATGAAACTTATCAGAAATTCCAAATGGGAAGCAAATTTCTAACTTAGTAGTTTCTAGGAAAAGGTATATAATTAGATGACGTTAAGATGATAGCAAAGTTTCTATGATATTGACGTGGTTTCAAATTTATTATATTTTCTAGAACCATCTAGAATTATATTTCCATTGTAGCATATACTTTTGCATAATGTAAAACAAGTTGATCATATTTTCGTTTTTCTACTTTTAATACAATGCATAAGATTCTGAATATTATCGCAAATAGGACGTTGATTCGATACCAGTGTATATTTATAGAGTTCTTTAACCTCACTTTATATAACTTCGTTTCATAATGCAACTATCAACTGCAAATAAATGAAGGTCAGTACTCTTTCGATGTATTTTACGTTTAACGCATAGATTTTCACTTTTATTTTATAAACGACAGTCCACATTATATGAGTATGAAGATAAAAACATGAAATAAAAAATTGAAAATTAACAAAGAAATATGTAGTTACTAGTTACAGTTATTTGTTACATCCGTAGATTATTACATCAGTCAAGATATCGATTGATCTATTCTTAATATTTAATTAGAAATTTCGAGAACGAAATAAAAGAATTTTCGAGATCCTTCGCGAAGAAACGCGGTTGAGATTTCAATACTGCGTGTTTCGAGCTTCGTTGAGTTTGCATACATATATAGAATTGCGAGGCCGGCTCACGCCGTCAGTGTACAAGGAACTAGTGAAGAGTGTGCATCTGTTCTCGCGTTCTTAACCAAAGTTAATCCCATTTTCAAGAGAATATCAACAAATTGATATTAAAAATGAGAAGAGGAATAACATTGATTCCAAGATTATTCTCCCACTGGTGGGAGACATTAGAACAATCACATCGATTACTGGACCAGCAGTTTGCCAAAGGAATAATGCGACCAGAGCAATTTTTGACTTCAGTGTTTGAGAGATCACCATTCAAATCATTTCCAAACAGTTATTGTCGACCATGGATAGATTGGGAACGAGAAATAGAAAATAGTGGATGGTCGATAATAAAAAATGACAAGCATCAGTTTCGTGTGGTACTGGATGTGCAACAATTCAAACCGGAAGAAGTTAACGTAAAAGTTATTGACAACTACATCGTAGTAGAAGGTGGGTGTTCTTTTTTTAAATGAAAAATACATTTGTTTGAGCTGAAACGTTAACAAAAGAATGGTACATATTGCGCGTTTATTTTG